AGCTCCCTTCCCTCCATCATTCTCTCTCCCAAGCTCCCACCTCCATCTTCCTCTCTCCCAAGCTCCCTTCCCTCCATCATTCTCTCTCCCAAGCTCTCTTCCCTCCATCATTCTCTCTCCCAAGCTCCTTTCCACCTCCATCATTCTCTCTCCCAAGCTCCCTTCCCTCCATTATTCTCTCTCCCAAGCTCCCTTCCCTCCATCATTCTCTCTCCCAAGCTCCCTTCCGTCCATCATTCTCTCTCCCAAGCTCCCTTCCCTCCATCATTCTCTCTCTCATGCTCCCTTCCTCCTCCATCGTTCTCTGTCCCAAGCTCCCTTCCAGCTCTGAGATTCTGTGTTCTTAAGTCCCTTCCAGCTGACATTCTCTGTCCCAAAGTCTCAGCTCTGACATTCTGATTCTGTGACTACTACTTCTGTATACATTGCTATTAAGGTCACATAAATAGATATTGACTTGACTTAAGAGGAGTGAGGTACTTTAGGAGAAGGGGAGACTGAGGAGAAAAATTGGGAATTTTGAAAAGATTAAAAACAAAGAGTTGAGTTATTGGGGCAGCTAGGTAGTGCAGTGAATAGAGCACCAGCCCTGGAGTCAGGAGGACCTGAGTTCAAATCCAGACACAGACACATAATACTAGCTGTGTGACTCTGGGCAAGTCACTTAACTACCCTCCCCAAAAAAAGCTGAGTTCCTGCTCTGCTGCTAATTTGCTGGTTGACACTGAGAAGAAATTATACTGGAAAACAATGCAGGACTTGGGAGTCAAAAGACTTAGTTTTGAATTCTGTCTCACCCTAGACAAAAGTTGCTTGACTTTTTAAATCCTGTTTCCATATCTAGAAAGTATGGGAGTCTCCCTTATAGGGTCATTATAAAGAAAGTGCTTGGCAAACCTTAAGTTGTAGATGAATGTCAGTTTCTTAAGACCCCTCTTGGGGCCTCATTTCCTCATCCATCAAATAAGGGGTTTGAGTTTGGACCAGAACTCATTCTAATATCATTCCATGACAGCATTTTGTAGTCTTAAGAGGAAGACTCAGCATTATGAAGATTATATGTAAATATTGGCTCCTAAAGGAACCTAATCCACAAGAAAAACAAGAATGCACTCTTTTCTCTGACTCCTAGTCAGTGGAAGAGAGGTAGAGTGTAGTTAAATGTTTAACAATCAGCTTGCAAGATCTAAATAAGACACACTTTTAAGTTTAATGTGCATTATTAACATCTCCATCACTTTCTTAAGACTAAACAATCAACAAAATAATAAATAAAGTCCTGATTTGTAGCCTTTGATGATTTGAAGTATAAATAATAACACTAATAATTTAACAATTAGCTCTTGAGAGCAGGTACTCAGCAGACCTCAGGGCCAGAGCCTGAAGAGGGGAAACTATGGGCCCTAGCTCCAGAAGCAAAAATGAGCAGATTAGGCTAAAGTACAAAGCTTGAGTCCTATGGGGAGAATCATCACTTTCCCCAGGAGAGGAAATAAGGGGGAACAGCAACAGTGATGACTTCTCTGCCTTACCCTGCTCCCCAATGACCTCAAGAAGGACACAGCTGATCCCTAAGATTGCTGCCCCCTCCAAGTGGCTGGGGTATCCTGGATCTCCACTTTGAGGCCTGAGCAGGGCTTCTCCAACACCATCAGGTAGGTGGGCTCTAGGGGGAGGAATAACAGACCTTCTTTCTCCCCATGGTTTATAGTGAACCTTCAACCAGTCCCTAGAACCAGCGTTCTAGGGGCAGATGCCTGATTTGTGCCAACTATAGTCTGAGTGAAATTTCTTCAAAGAGCTGTCCCAGTGGCCTAGGGAAGACAGCACAACTTGAAAAGAGCTAAAAGCAACTTGAGCTTCTAGATACAGGGGTGGAGAACCTGTGGCCTCAAGGACACATGTGGCCCTCTAGGTCCTCAAGTGCCATCTTTTGACTGAATCCAAGTTTTACAGAACAAATCCTTTTTATTAAGGGGATTTGTTCTACACCCAGCCCATCTGACTACCCATGAGTGACCCCTGCTTCAGAGCTTGCACAACACACTCTCACTCCTCCATAGGCCCTTTCCTTTATCTTACCACTTGAGAGGAAGGTGCTGGGAAGGGGACAGGATGGGACAGGGAAAGAAAAAGAAAAATCAAGGTAGAGGGGTGAAAGATGAATTCATGTTCTTCTTCCACCCTTGATATCTCCCATCTCATTCCCTCAGGGTTAGGTGTGGGGAGAACTGGGAAAGAAGGAGCATAATATGGTAGAAAACACTGGGCTGGAGGATCTGATCCTGATTCTGCTACTATCTGGCTATGTGAACTTGAGTCATTCACTTCCTATTCTGGGCCTCAGTTTCTCCATCTGTGAAATGAGGCACTTATCCTAGATGGTCTATAAGTTCCTTCAGGTTCAGAAGTTCTATGTTCTAAGGGTTACTGAAAAATCCAGAAGGTTCTAGAATTCTGATTCTATTAAGTCAGGGTTCTTGGTATGACTTAGGACCCTAAGGCAAGAACTAAATCACTCCAAGAACAAATCCCCTTACCACAAGGCATCCTAACTCCCAACGTAGCAGGAAGACAAAGAGATATTAGTTTGGGGTATATCTTCCTTCCCAATTCCCTACCTACCCAAAGTGAACTCCCCAGGCCCAATATGATCCAGGGTGCCTGGATCCTCCCTCCCCCCAGCATCCTCCCAGCAGCCAGTCAAAGGAAGCAATATCCTCTCGACTCCCAGGACCCTCAGATGCCCCCCCATCCCTCTACGTGCCTGATGCCATGAATATTCTTGATAGCGTAGCTGATCTCCCGCCTCAGCTCCTTCTCATCAAACTCCATCTGTACAAAGGGGAGGAATGGGCAGTCCGTCAGAGGGCTTCTCAAAGTCCCCCAAATAGCACATAAGAGAAATAAAGGGACCCTTTACCTGGCCATGGGACATAGTCAAGGCCACCAGGACGATCATCCCATTGGCATCCTGGGCACCCAAGACCTTAGGATTTAAATTCTAGCCATAACTACTTGTCCTGGAGAGACACATCCTAGAGACTCCTTATCAGAGAATCAAAGACTGAGACTTAGAGCTTGAAGGACCTTAGTGGTCATATCCTAACCCCCTGCTGTTAGAGATGGAGAAACTAAAGTGAAGAGAGCTTATACAACTTACCCAAGGTCACACAGAGAGTAACCAGCAGAGGCAGGATAAGGTTCCCAGGCCCTCTGACTCCAGCTACTCAAGATACTACCCCGGGTCAGGAATGCCCTCTTCTTCCTTTCCACTTGGCAAAGTACTATGGGTTCCTTAAGGACAGCTAAGTGGCCCAATGGATGGAGTGCCCAGGCCTGGAGTCAGGGAGACTCATCTTCTTGAGTTCAAATCTAGCCTCAGACACTTACTAGCTGTGTGACCCTGGGCAAGTCACTTAACCCTATTTGCCTCAATTTCCTCATCTGTAAAATGAGCTGGAGAAGGAAATGGCAAACCACTCTAAAATCTTTGCCAAGAAAACTCCAAAGGGGTCATAAAGAGTTATGACTGAAAAACACCTGAACAGCAGCATTGGTCCATTAAGACCCAGCTCAAATTTCTCTTCTTCTGTGAACTATGGTCTACCATGTTCTCTCATTCCTTTGAACTCTTAATACCATCCTTTGACACCTTACATACTGCCTTATGGGCTTAGTTACCATTTTATATGTGTGTGAGGTTCCTGCCCTTAACTACACTATTAAAATCACTCCTGTGTCCAAGCAGAGCACCTAACACAGTCCTTTGCAGAGAATGGGGACTGAGCACTGGATAGCTGGTGTCCTTTATGGAAGAATTTGGATTAAAGTTTAGGAGTCTTAGGTTCCACCTTCCAGTTCTACCATTTGTGAGACCTTTGTCATTTCCCTTTCTGTCTCCAGGCCTCAGTCTTTTCAGGGGGAAATTGAATGGGGAAGTTTCTTCCAGCTCTAAAATTCGATGGGCTATTTCCTAAGGTTCCTTCCCAGCTCTGAAATGCCAGTCCAGGTGAAGCTGGGTCAAGGTCAAAGAGTAAAGGCACCCTCACTGGGGATGAACTTACTTTGACCAGCTCAAAGGGGAAACGTTCATGGAAGATACGGTTGATTCGGGCCCCTCCAGACAGCTCATAGGTGTCGATCTGGTCTCCCGAACCTTCAATCCGTTTCTCAAAGTCCACAGCAAACTGCTGGACCATCCTGGAAGGAGGAAACAGGAAAAGGATGAAAGAGGAAGTATCTGGGGCCATAGAATAAAAGCTGAAGCTGGGTAAGCATCAGACCAGACAACTACAAAGAAGGAAAATGGAAGGATGGGGACATCAGATAAGGCTGGGTCAGTCAGTAAGATAGGAAGGACAGACTAAGCCTGGGATGGGAGAGGAGAAGCTAGGGATACAGGGGAGGCGGAGCGGGGCTACTTACTGTAACAGAGCCTTGGTCTTGCGGGAGGGGTCATCAGGACGGAAGTTTTTATATTCCTCCACCTCCTTCTCAATAGACAACAACTGACTCTGCAGCTTGTTCCGAAGTCCAGGCAGCGTGTCCCGGATATGGTTGGTCAGTTGCTAATCAGAGAGAAGAGGGGGGAAAGGGTTAAAGTCAGCAAGTCAATAAGCATTTATTAAGCACTTTCTATGTGCCGGGCACTGTGCTATGAATGGGGATGCAAAGAAAGGTAAAAACAGGGTCCCTGCCCTAAAGGAGCTCACATTTTAATAGAAGAATAAATGAGTAAATAACTAGCTACATGGGGTGGGGGGAGAGAGAGAGAGAGAGAAGGAGAGGGAAAGAGAGAAGGAGAGGGAGGAGGGGAGAGGGAGAGAGAAGGAATGAAAGAGAGAGAGGGGAGGAAGGGAGAGAGAAGGAGAGAGAGAGAGAAGGGGAGAAAGAGAGAGAGAAAGAGAGAGACACAGAGAGGAGAAGGAGACGGAGAAAATCTTGGGGCAACTGCAGGTGGTAAGAAACTCAGAAATGCCTACAGAAGGTGAAACTTGGATCTGAATCTTGAAGGAAGCCAGGGAACCAAGAGGAGGCAGGGAGGAGGGAAAGCATTCCAGACATGGAGGATACTCATATCTTTGCAAAGACATGCCATGGGAGTGCCATGGGAGATAGGGTGTCATGTGTGAGAAACAACTAAGTAGGCTAGTGTAATTAGATTATAGAGTGTATGGATGGGAGAAGAAAGTAAGACTAGAAAAGTAGGAAGGAGGGGCAACTAGGTGGCACAATGGATTGAGCACTAGCTCTGGAGTAAGGAGGACCTGAATTCAAATCTGCCTTCAGATACTTACTAGCTATGTGACCTTGGGCAAGTCATTTAACCCTGATTGAGAAAGAAAGGAAGGAAGAAAAGAAGAAAGAAAAATAGGAAGGAGCCAAGTTGTGAAAAGTTTGTATATCAAACACAAAACAGCCACTGGAGTTTACTGAGTAGGGGGTCAGGATTGTCAAACCTGTGCTTTAAAAAATTATTTTGGGGGGCAGCTAGGCGGTGAAGTGGATAGAGCACCAGCCCTGAAGTCAGGAGGACCTGAGTTCAAATCTGGCCTCAGACCAAACACTTGATACTTACTAGCTGTGTGACCCTGAGCAAGTCACTTAACCCCAACTGCCTAAAACAAACAAACAAACAAAAAAACCACAAAAAAAAACTTCTTAAAAAATTATTTTGGTATCTGAGTGGAGGATGGATTGGAATGGGGAGAAGTATGAGGTAATGAGACCACTCAAAAAAGGTCATAATGAGAGGCGATGAGAAGAGGGGGATCCATTCAAGATATGTTGTGAAGGTAAAAATGCTGAGATTTGACAACAGATTGGATATAGGGGGTAAGTGCAAGTGAGGAGGAGTTGAGGATAAAACTAAGATTTCAAACCAGGGTGACTGGGAGGATGGTGTTACCCTTGAGAGTAATGGGAATGTTTGAACTAGGAGAGGGTTTGTTTAGAAAGATGAGTTCTGTTTTAGATGTGTTGAATTTGAAATACCTATAGTACATGTAATTCAAGATGTCCAGAAGGCAGCTGGTGATGGAGGACTAGGGTTCAGCAGAGAGAAGAGGCCTATAGATCTGGAACTATCTGCATAAAGATGATATTTGAATCCATAGGAGCTAAGGACATTATCCCATAAGACAGTATAGAGAGAAAATAAAAGAGGACCCAGGATGGAGCTTTGGAAGACAACTACAGTTAGTGGGTGTGATCTAGATGAAGATCCAGCAAAGCAGACTGAGAAATAGTAATCAGACAGGTAGGAGGACAGACAGGAGAGAGCAGTGTCACAAAAATCTAGGGTGGACAAAGCGTCCAGGAGAAGATGCTCAATCAACCACAGCAAAGGCTGCAGAGAGTTCAAGAAGGCTGGGGACTGAGAAAATGGCCATTAGACTAGGCAACTAATGGGGCTGGACAATTAAAAGTACTTTGGTGACTGACAAGAGTGGTTGCTGTTGAAGGATGAGGTTAGAACACAGACGGCAGAAGGTTTAGAAAAGAAGTGGAGGAAGAATTAAATAACTGGAGAAATATTAAGAGCATATGGGTAAGTTGAGCTAATATAATAAAAATGACAACATGACCTAAGTTAATTCACTTACTCAGTGACATATTAATCAAACTATCAAAGGATTACTGTATAGAACTAGAAAAAGAGTAACAAAATTTATCTGTAATAATGAGAAAGGTCAAGAATCTCAAGAGAAACAATGAGAAATAGCAGGAAGGAGGGAGGCCTAGCAGCCTCCTTCAGTTCTTAAACTATATGACAATGTAGTAATCATTAAAATTATTTGATTCTGGTTAAAAAATAGAGAAGTCATTCAGTGGAACAGATTAGGTACACCCCATACAAAAGCAAAAGAATCCAGTGGTCTATTGTTTGATAAACCCAGAGACCCCAGTGACGGAGGTAAAGACTCACTATTTTTTAAAAAACTGTGGAGAAAACTGGTTAGCAATCTGGCAGAAATTAGGTTTAGACCAATATTTCATACTATATACCAAGATAAGCTCCATATGACCTGGATATAAAAATCCACATTTTGGATCCATAGAAGTTATCCCAACTAAATAAGGGATAAAGAGGATCACAGAAGATAAAAATGGATAACTTTAATAATATAAAATTTAAAAAGTTTTTTCACCAAAAAAATCGAATGCTGCTAAGATTAGAACAGAAATAGTTAACTGGGGGAAAAAATCTCTATAGTGAGCTTCTCCGATAAAGGTCTCTTTCTAAGACATATAAGGAACTGATTCAAATTTATAGAAGTAAGAGTCATTCCCCAACTGATAAATAGTTAAAGGGTATGAACAGGTAGTTCTCAAAGGAATATATCCAAGGTATCTATAATCACATAACAAAACACGTCAAATTACTAATAATTAAAGAAATGTGAATTAAAGCAACATTGAGGTTCTACCTCATACCCATCAGATTAGAAAAGTTGAAAAAAAAAAAGAAAATAACAAATGTGAAAGACAAAACTCGCACTTGTATGCACTGTTGTAGGGACCTGTGAATTGGTCCAACTATTCTGGAGAATAATTTGGAAGTACACTTCAAAAGTCACTAAATTGTGCATACTTTTGACCTGGCAATACTGCTATTAGGTGTAAATCCCAAAGAGAACAAGAAATGAGGAAAAGGACTTATATGTACAAAAGTATTTAAAACAGTTCTTTTTGTGGTGGCAAAGAATTGGATATTAAGGAAAAGTCCATCAATTTGGGAATAGCTGAGCAAATTATAGTATCTGTAATGAAATATTATTATGCTGTAAAAAACAATTAAGGGGACAGTTTCAGAGAGACCTGGAAAAACTTGTACAAACTGACACAGAATGAAATGATCAGAACCAAGAGAACCATTTACATATAACCACAGCATTATAAAAATGAACTTTAAAAGACTTAAGAACTCTAACCAACTTAATGATCAACCCCGATTTCAAAGGACTTATGATGAAGGATGCTACCCACCTCCTGACAGAGAAATGATGGACTAAATATGCAAAATGAGGCATATTTTTGGACATAGCCACTATGGGAAATTGTTCTGTCTGATTATATAATAATCATTAAATAATTGTTAATTTTTAATTTAATTAAATGAATTATTATATTTACATTATATAAACACAATAATAATATTTTATTATATAATTATTATATAATATTGTATATAATATAGGCATATTGCCAAATATAATAATGTTATATATAACAATAAAATTTATATAATAGATTACATAATAATAATAATAATGATAGCTAACATTTATATAGTACCTACTACATGGCAGGCCCTGTGCTAAGTGCTTTACAAATATTATGTCATTTGGTACTAAGGTATTTCTCCCCCACCACCGAGTGGGAGGGAACAGGTGGGAAAGAGAGATGACAAATGCTTGCTAACTGGGGAAAAATTAACTTTAAAAAATTATTATTTATTTATTTTAACATTCTTTTTTTAAATTTGAGTTCCAAATTTTAAAAATTAATTAAAAAATGAAAGTTTTTAAAAATAAGATAATGAGAGGAGAGGAACTAGAGGCACTGAGTGTAGGTGGCTTTTTCAAGGAGTTTGGCTGAGAAAGGGAAGAGAGGTAGGATAACAGAGGGAGTGGGATCTAATGAGGTGTGTTTTTAAGGACTGGGAGACATGAGTATCTTTGTAGGCAGAAGGAAGGAGCCAACAGATAAAGGGAGACTGAATATCAGAGAAAGAGGGACGATGACAGTAGGTCAGAGCCTCCGAGTTCTTGGTATGGAGTCCTTAAGATCCAAGAGAGCGGGGGGCCCAGAGGTCACCCTTTCCCAGGGCCCTTGCTCTTAGGGCTCCCCAACATGGCTGCACTGCAGCCCACCTCCATGAGACCTAATAGGAAAGGAATCCCTTGTTGGTCTTGAGAAATTAGGAAGGACTGGGAAGTCGTCTTGTCCATCCTCAACTACAAAATTAAAAGATGGACTTTTGGGCAAGCAGTGCTCTTAACTTGACTCAATGATGCACTCACAGTATCTGCTCTCATTCCCTATCAGGGAACAATCTATCATAATTTTCCATGAGAAAAAATATTGAAACGGACAAGACCTGTCTAGTTTTCCCTGACATAATGAATCTCAGTTGGGTCTTTTGTAGACCCAGGGACCCACCCATTAGTGCTTACATATACCTTGGTCTCATTCTCCTCAAAGGAATGAGAAGGAAGGTAGTAGGAGGAATGAAACAAAGAATCCTCATTAGGAGAAGGAGGAGGGTGACAGGGGCTCAAGAGCACTGGCTCCAAGGAAGAAGGAGAGAAATCTAAGTTCTGGCTAAGATGGCTTCCTGAATAGAAGTAAAGAGGCCAGCTTCCACACATCCACTCCAGTAGAAACATAAAAATAGCACCAGACTGAATGATGTTCAAGAAATCTTCCAATAAATTATATATAGTAAGTACATCTACCAAGAACCGCACAAAAAGTCATCCAGAGGTCCAGGCAATAGGATACAGGTCAACCAGCAAAGCCAAGGTCAGTACAGACAAACAAGGTAGAAGCCTCCCAGCCTTAC